GGTTTTGATTTTATAATATTTTATTAAACCCTAGAGACTTTTTTTCTCTGATTTTTTCGACGAATTTTCTCTTGTGAATCATCTGTTAGAGCGCCTGCAGGATAATCATTATTCTGTCCGGCGTCACAAAATAACCATTTGAGACCCACCATAGGAGAGGTAGCTTCTCCACTTCAGGTGACAGATGTATTTTATTCAGTTCTTCAGGTAATAAGATGCAACACTCTAATCTGGCGGGGTTTAGTGAATGGCAGCCATGCGGTAAGAATTCAAAACATTATTATATGTTGATGAAAACAAGAGAACGTAGATTTGAGATAAAGGGTACTAGATATCCATGCTTTTAACATTTTTTTTCACTGTTTCTTCTTTTGGATATGAGATTGAAGGAGGAGAAGTGGTAAGTGGAGAGTTTATATGGAAGAGATGATGGGATTTTGATTGTACGGTACGGCTGTTAATGGATTTGTTATAATTTATATATACAGATTATAAGGATGGTGGTGGATTCTGGCCTTTGACCATCTCTGCCAGATTTGAAAGTAGAGTTTCATACTGAGTATAGGAATATACTATTATATTATTTCCTGAATCTCATGTGCACTCCTGAGTCTGCGATTTGTTATCGAATGAATCTTGGAAATTGTGAATAAAATCACAAATACTGCAAAAGGGGAATAACGTTTCTGTTTTCTAGGCAAGCCCCCTAGTGACCACTGCATCCTCGATGAGCCTCAGTGATTCAACCTTGTCAGCACACAGCTGGTGAGGATCTGGAATTGTTCCCTCATCCACCGATACAACAATCGCCATCTTGTCTATATAAACTCTGGAAGTTGATCATCAATGCCTGCAGTTTTCAGTAATCACATTAGCAGCCGATATTTCGACCGGACAACAGCGTAGCTGTTCTCAAATGAAAGACTTACATGAGGTTGTCCATAAGTCCCAGGAGCAAGAAAAGCCCGGGGGTGACCATAAAAACCAATTTCCTCCATAGTTCCAACCAGATTCGAGAAGCACACAGTTGTGCCAGACACGATTCTATAGGACAAAGCACTAGCCGTCTGTTTTCAGCATTGGAAAACATACAAACTGATAAGAAACCAGTGAAACACATAAGAGGCTAAGACTAATCAATAATTACAATGACTGAAATTGACCTTTACGCCGAAAAGCTTGAATGCTAACTCAGCAATGGAGGAAGTGAATATAGCTTCGAAGGAGCGTTTCATTCCGTCAATCGTAGCCTTAGCATCACGAATATAATCTAACGGATCATCCCTTAAAGCGATGGTGAAGGGGAGCAGAACATAACCAACACAATTGCCCCCACTTTGCTTCAGAATCCTTCTCCATCATATCAGCTAAAGCCTAGCATGCATGCTTTAACATGTTTAATCAAGATTATTTAAGAGAGATTAGGGGCAAAATTTAAAGCTACTAACTCGGATTCCTGCAGATGGTCTTAGGTTGAAGACCAAAGTTGATCGGAGGCGAATTTTCTTAGGAAGATTATCCTTTTCTATTGCTCCCTCATCTTTGATATTCCCACCTAATTAACAAGTTAAAAAAATCAAGCCTTCCTGTTTCAACCATAAACTACATAGTAGTAAGAAATCTTACCATATATTATGTTGATATTGCGGGACAGATCAGCCTGTGTAATCCCCAAAGCAACATCGTTTATAGTCTGCAGATTGAAATTTTATTAAAAAAAATTTTGCAATAACTGAGATTTTCTTCATGATGCAACACATGGACTTACAGTTTTCATTGCATTCTTGACCAACTTGATATCATCCAAGCTAACTGTCCTGCAAACAATTCGACGAGGATTAAACACAGCTCCGGGCGGACCCTTGAGAGGATTTTGAGTATCTTTCAAGAACAATGTCGTGGCAATAATCATGAAAACATCGACCAAAGTATTACGAAAAACCTGAAAGAAAGACCAAAACATGAACATAACTCCCCAAAACCATCTATCATCATCATCCTTTTTCTCTTGCTTCTTCTTGACTGGGATAATAGGCAACGCCAGAGGATCATTGCTTTGGCGAATGCAAGCGAGTAGAAGAGACATAAGAGAAATGCCATCGCCAAGGGACGACCCTTAAAACACCAACCGCCTCAGATTCTGGGGTTCTTAAGTTGAGCAAATGGAGGTCCCAGAGAGGCTGCGATTTGTTGATGCCGGTTTTGCTCAGGTTGTAAATGTAATCCTCGAGGAACTTTTCGGGTGATCGATTTTCGGGTCAAGCTTTGGAACAATAACATGTTTTTCCAAATCCACTTCGGTTCTAACCCATTTCATTTCTCCCTTCTCTCATCCATCACCTGACATTTTTACCATATTAGTGTATCAAAATGAAGTAGAAAAAATTGAATAAAAACTTGTTTATGATACCTGCAAACTAGAGAAACGGGGGTGTCGTAAGTGACACATGACACATGATTCTCAATACCATTCTTGTGGTATCGATACCAAAGGTTGTATCTCGATAACGATAACGGAGAATTTCATTTGAACTTCGAGGTTGGAAATGATACCACTACTTAAAGTTAGTATCAATATCTAAGGGATGAGTATCAATATCCTCAAGAATTATTTGAACATCAAACCTTAATCTAATACTGATACTCAAGATGTATAGATACTCTCTATCTGATATCGATACTTTGTGGTTCAAAAGTCATTAATTGACTTCTAATTCGAATGTGGGATCAAGGCAAGGTTTGTAACCAATGATTGTGCCTATAGAAGGCCCTATTGGTGCTATTTCAAGGGCATCCTGTCAGTCAAAGAAAGCTCAAGGAACTTCTGGGCCACACGCCATCACAGGTCTTTGCTGGAGCTATGCTTGGTATTTTAGTAGCTTGTTTATGCTGTCAAGGTTGCTTGGTTGCAACCTTGGAAATGCTTCTGCGGGTAATTTTTGGTCATATTATAGCGGACAGCGTTTTGGTATTTTGTAAAAACCTGGCTCAATTTTTATGGCTTGATGAGTCTATTGTTCTATATAAAAATCTAGTTCGGGTATCATCTCTAACATCCTTTTCTTTAAGAGAGAATAAGAACAATAGAAATCAAAGCCTAAACCCAAAAGATGTGCTCTTTTTTAGTGTTAAATTGTAAGGTGTAGTGCTATGGCTTTGCAAATAGGTTTTGGCTACCCTTATATTTCCTTCAGAAGGCATAACTCCCATTCTAGTTGGTTCACATGCTCTTTTCTATTTAAACTCTCTGAATTTTAGCTTTCATCTGCATAGCATTTGGCTTTTAATGCATCAGATGGTCGAATAGCTTTTGGTAGCGACAGCAACGACTTCAAGCTTTGCAGAATGGTGGAGGCAGAATAGGAATACGATGAAGGTAAACTTTTTCCACTAATTTTGTTTGTGAGAAAGTTTATTTAGAAAAAAAAATCGTAAAAAAATAACATGAAAATAATTTTATGCGACATTTTTTTGTTTATATGAGACCATGATTTATGTGGTAAGAAATATCTTATTAAAATTTTCTTATTATCATTTTTATAAAATTTAGGGTAAAATAGGCAAATAATTCGTATTGCTATATTAAGTCCTTCGACTTTTAAAAGTTATAGAATGATCATCAAACTATAAGGTGTTGTTTTGTTGAGTCCCTCTACTATTAAAAATTACACAATGGTGTTCTAAGTTCATCCTTTTCCATTAAAAAATATCGGTCGTTTGAGCTAAATGTCAACATGATGACTAGGATATGATAGTCATTTGAGATTCTGAGATCATTTTTTATAATATCACACTCATCATATTAACATTCAACTTAGAATGTCTTCAATTTTTTAACCAAAAAAAGACAATTTTAGAACATATAAATAGTTGGGTGATCATTTTGTAACTTTTAATAGTTGACAAATTAAACAAAATAATATTATATAATCAAAGGATCATTTAGTAATTTTAATAGTTGAAGAACTTAATAAAATAATGTCATATAGTCGATGGACAAATTGTGTATTTTATCCTAAAATTTAAAGGAGTATTCAAATTTCAAATTGCAACTCCTTAATTAATTTTAATATTTGAAATATCAGAACAAAACGTGACTGGAATGAAACTTTATTATATAGATTATGTATTCTAAATGTCCATCCCTTTGAATTTTGACCAGATTATGTTTACCCACACCCTAAAGCTTGAGACGTGGCGGCAACAAAACATTTGAATTCAGAAGTCTCCACCGACTGATGGTTAAATTTAATTTATCGGACATTGTTATTGATATATTTTGTAAAAAGGCACAAAATTAAACATATTTAATATTATGATTATGAATTATTCCAGGTGTATTTTGGATATGATATTATCTGATGTCATTAATAATTAATATTATAAATATCATCCTCATTAAAAAAATATTTAATATTTTTTAAATTATGAATGAAAAGAAATATAAAATTATTAAAAACAATTCTATAACAAATTCAGAATAAAATTATCATATGTGCATTAAAATTTTCCATTCACAAATTTCAATATCAAATGTGTATAAACTGTACTTTCTAACATCATTAGAAATGGAATAAAAAAATAATCAATATGCGAAAAAATTTATATTTATTGTAGTGATACGGGTTAGTAAATCAAACAATTAGACGTTGTTAAAAAATTTCAGAAATAAATTTAGGTAAATTGATTTTTTTTAATTATATGTTATTTTTTACACTAATTTACCGAACGATACTAATCGGCAATTATACGAAGGGAATAGCCAGATAAGACAACAAAACTTGGGAGCTACTCCAAGACGGAGCCCAAATTACGAGAAATACCAAAAGCCATTTTGCCTTGTACAAAAAGAAATACTCAAAAATGACATCTATACGTATACAAATGGGTCAACAGTAGTACAATTTTTACGCGTTAACTATAAAAGACGACGGCTATACACGTGTCTCTCTTTTCCGATGCCATTTTCCTCTCTCACCAATCCTTCGGCTCAGAAGAAATTTCCTGAATTTGACCTTTGATTTCAAGCTTCACTTTCTTGCTCCTTTCTTCCGGTAAGAATCACCGTCCTCATCTTTAATTCTTCCATACATTCAATCTCTATTTTCTAGTTGTGCAAATCGAGATGAATTGAGCCGTGGGATTCGCTTCTGAATCCTAGGGTTTCAGTTTTTTTTTCGGATTCTCGCTTGTATAGAACTGTTTAGGTTGTAAAGAAATGCGGGGGGAAATATTGTAATTTTTGTACAGGTAGTTTTAAGATTTTAGCATTCTTTTTAGAGTCAAGTTTTCACCGTCAACGATGTCATCTGCTGGTCTTGCTGTTGTTCCGGTTCGAAAAGAACCTATGATCCCTCCTGATCACTTGTATCCTGACTGGGATCTTTGTGAAAACGAATCAATTTGGATATTCTTGGCACTTTCTGAATCCAAGGTTCCGATGCGAGTTTTGAAATCGGATTCTATTGAATCCTTGAAGCTACGCATTCAATCCTATAAAGGTTTTGTTGTGAAGAATCAGAAGTTGGTTTGCGGAGGCCGGGAGTTGGCACGGAGCAATTCGCTTGTCCGTGACTATGGAGTGAACGATGGAAATGTTCTACACTTGGTTCTTAGGCTTTCTGATCTTCAGGGCATTAATGTTAAGACTACGGCTGGAAAAGAATTTACCTTTCATGTTGAACGAGGGCGTGATGTTGGTTATGTGAAGAAGCAGATCGCCAAGAGGGAGAAACATTTTTCTGATCTTGATGAGCAAGAAGTTGTTTGTGATGGAGAGCGATTAGAGGATCAGAGGCTTATTGATGATGTATGTAAGAACAACAATGCTGTATTGCATTTGTTAGTCCGTAAATCTGCCAAAGTTAGGGCTAAGCCTGTTGCTAAGAATTTTGAGTTATCTGTTGTGGCACCAGAATTGAAACACAATCAAGATTGTGATGTTGGTGATGAAGAGATCTATCCTACAAGATATGAAGCTGATAAGGAGGTTGAACCAAGGAAGGCTCCCAATAGTGATTTTGTATTGGAGCCTGTTATTGTTAATCCCGAATTTGAACTACCTTCTGTCATTGTGAATATGATTAACTCCACCCATGATGGATTGTACAGTGGGAAAATTCCAATTAGGTCCGTGGAGGGGACTGGAGGAGTCTATTTCATGCAAGATTCAACTGGCCAACAATTTGTTTCTGTTTTTAAGCCAATAGATGAAGAGCCTTTAGCTGTCAATAATCCTCGACAATTACCGGTGTCATCAGATGGTGAAGGGTTGAGAAAGGGTACGCGAGTTGGAGAAGGAGCATTCAGGGAAGTCGCAGCTTATATTTTGGATCACCCTAAGAAAGGACAACACAGGTTATATGGAGATGAGAAGGGTTTTGCTGGGGTCCTTCCTACTGCTCTAATCAAGTGTTTGCATGCTGGGTTCAACAACCCAGATGGTTTAGCAACAGTCAAGATGGGATCATTGCAGATGTTTGAGAAAAACAATGGAAGTTGTGAGGATATAGGTCCGGGGTCCTTTCCAGTCGAGCAAGTGCATAAAATCTCTGTGTTGGATATAAGATTGGCAAATGCTGATAGGCATGCTGGAAATATTTTATTGAGCCAAGATGAAGACGGGCAGACGGTGCTGATTCCAATCGATCATGGCTATTGCTTGCCTGAAAGCGTAAGTTTGCTCCATGATTATTCTTTAATTTCCTGCTACCTCATGCATGATACCACTATTCTTTGTTTTTTTTTTGTCTTTTTTACTACTTGTCCATACCTTTTGTTATTTTAATGTTTCTAGGTTCTTCCTCTAGACTAAATGTTACGCATGTACTCAGGATGGTTTGAATTCAACTGTGAATTTGACTTGAATCATATTATAGATTCATGATTAGTTGGTCATTAAACTTATATTTGATATTACTGAGACAAGAGACTAATATGCTGCTAAAATGATAATAATCACGATTCACTAACTTATCTTGCAAGCTCAGTGCTGTTGCCAGTGTGATTATGTGCCTAAATTTTCTAGGGGTATTATTTTGTCTTGTGTGGTGCTTATGAGTGTCATTATACTGTCATTTTGGTTTCACTATATTCCTATTTTTGGAATCACTAATCATATTTTCTGTTTCTATTGTTTGAGATTGCATATTTTGGGCCTTTTTTATGTGATTTTTTACATGTTGCTTTTGCTGTGTCCTGAAAATTAATCCCTAATAATATGTTTTGTTTTTACTTCTATAGTTTGAAGATTGCACATTTGAGTGGCTGTATTGGCCTCAAGCGCGCAAATCCTACTCTCCTGAGACAATTGATTATATAAAATCACTGGATGCTGAAGATGATATTGCACTTATGAAATTCCTTGGATGGAATATGTCGCCAAAATGTGCACGCACCCTCCGCATTTCCACCATGCTGCTCAAAAAGGGTGCAGAGAGGGGACTCACTCCCTTTGCAATTGGAAGTATAATGTGCAGGGAGAATTTGAAGGAGGAATCTGTAATTGAGCAAATGATCCAAGAGGCACAGGATTCCGTACTTCCGGGCACAAGTGAAGCTGCGTTTCTTGAGACACTCTCGCAGATCATGGATTGGCATCTTGATGGGTTATGAAAACACTATCTCGAAACAATTTGATAGAATTGATTCAGAGAATGCTGGTTTATCATAGTTAATAGCTTAGTAGTTGCACATGACTCCTGGTACTTTGCATGCTTATTCTTCTCATGCGATTCTCTATTCTTTATGGCACTTTACAGATTGCCACTTAGTTAGAGATTCACAACATTTCAATTGTTTATCAAGTTGTTTTTGTTGGTCTTTTGAAATTTGAATTAAAGACAGGTTTCTTTTCATTTCACTAATATTTTTTTAACGTCTTAACTACTCAGATTTCGTCTCCGAAAGGGAATAAATCGTCTAAGTCATGAGGACCACTCAAATGGGTTTTTGAGTTCCATTTCGCTGATATTTCTGATTCACGATTTCACTCCTCACTAGGGTGTATGAAGTGGGTATTTTATTTCTTGGTAGGCCTATTGGGCTTTTATATAACAAGGCCATCATTGGTATCCCTAACCCTGTCTCTTATTTACAAATTACAAATGGGTTTCCTATGCATTCCCCACATAGTTGAGAGCTTCAATCTCATCCCGCATGAAACGAAAGGTAGCCATATACGAAGGCTTCAAAGATGGAAACAGAAAACAGTGGAATTCCTTAACATAGATGACGAAAGATGCATTCAAGAAAATGAACAAGATTGTAATCTAGTGCTGGAAATTGGAGTATCTACCAATGAACAAATTCAAGTTACATATATTGCCTCACATGGCGCATTCTGGTTAAGATCAATAAACAAATTATGAATTTTGGGGAAATTACAACTCATGTAATATGCCAAGCTAAAGTGATGAATAATGTTGATTATCATTTTCGCAAATTTCTTACGGGATGACTTGTGTAGAAGAAAGAACAATTCAATGGAATTTATATGCTTAATGGTGGTTGTATTGGTAGGGGGTCACTCACATTCAATATTGATGCGTATAAAGTATATGTCAGGTTCGATGATATTAGTGTGCAATAATTTTACTTTAAACTCGGAGGAAGTAGAACAATGAATGGTGAAGAATGCATTGAATGGGTAAAAGCTGATGACATCGATTGTATTGATGAGGATAAGCTAAAATGGTTTGTTCTTCTTCGACTAGACGAAGAACGATGTCAACCGACGTTTTTACTTGGACTGGTGAATAGATATAACCCTTTCTTCATCAAATGGTAGATATGACTTCCTATATATAATACATGAATTGCATGACATGTATTCGTTCAAAAATCACAATATCAAGTTTATAAATAACATGATCGTTGGCCCACATTGTAATCCATTCTTTGTGCTTCTTCCCCAAATCCATGTAAATTTTAAGGTCCATGGCAGTTTTGAGAATAGGTAAATGAAGGGTGATGTGAAAAAGGAATCTTCCTTTTGAAAAATTTCATTTGTAAACAGCCGGTAGTCTTAACTCCTGCTGCTTTGGTAGATAAAGATTTATAACCGAACAGGTGGAGCGAACCACCAATAATGGCGACATGAGGTGGACATCCTTAAGAAAATCAAACTTTTTTCACATTTGTAGGTTGGATCCATCATCCATGTGCTCACAGCTAATTAACACATTTGACGCCGTGACTGCAGTGGAGGTTCAATTCATTACCCATGGCCATATCAAAGAAAAACAAGGTTTAACAATATAGGATAGAGTTTATATGTCAGTCCATCTCACATGCCACTCCACATCTAACTCTAAGCTTAGGTGAGCACTACGTCTTACCCTTCAATCTGTGTGTAATTTTATAAAATTTAGGGTAAATTACACGTTTAATACCCTTGTTCAAAATTAACATTATTATTTTTTTTAAATTGAAAGTTTAGATACTAAAATGGATCAAAACTGATAGTTTAGGTACTAAACGCATTAATTTTTAATGGTGTGGTACTAAAATGAAACAAAAACTAAATGTTAGGTATGATTTTGAAAAATTAAAAGATTAAGTACTAAATGCGTAATTAACCCTAAAATTTAAGTGTCCCTCTTAGTATAAAATTTTCCCGATACCTTTTTCAAAGACTTAAGCTAATATTTTTTTTTCAAGTATAAAGACTTTTCGCGCATTAAAAAAATAAGTTTTTTTTTATCGATTGCTTGTCGAATAAAACTAGCTTAAGAGAAAAATACTTCAAGTCAGGGTTAAAACATAATATTACTTTCCATGGTTTTTGAAAGTAACATTTATCGATTACTTATCAAATAAAACTATCTTTTCCAGTCAAATATATTTAAGAAAGTTATTCTTAAAATGATATTCATTAGGATTAACTTTTAAAATAATTTTTTTAATAAAAATGTTTTATGCGAGGAGAAAAAGATACTGTCAAGTAATTAAATATAAAATAAATATAATATAATAAAAAATAATTTTATCTTTTAAAAATTATAATAAAATCTACTTATCTTGATAGAAGGAAGAATGTGAAAATAATTTTGATGTGATTTATATTTGCATTCGGGGATATTTATAGAGGAGAGGGATGGGTGAATAACTGAAAGAGTTCAGGCTCAGGTAATAATAGAGTGCACAATAATTTAAAGTGAATAATAGAAGGTGCACCTCATGATCCGTGCTTTCCCTACATATGTCAGATTTCCCAACGATTCATTATCCGCGCTTTTACTATGTGACACCAACTCGGATAGAACCCTGCAAATGCACGCTTCATGATCTGCGCTTTTTCACCTTGGCATCAACTCGGATAAACCCATGCGAAAACGCACCGCATAATCCGTGCTTTGTCAAAAAATGTGTTATATCAGTAATATTTGGAGAAAATATGTCTAACAGATAATATTTCATTGTTATGGTGTTATTTGTATAAAATTGCCATAAAAATGTACTAAAATATCACTCCATAAAGTTCAGTAAACCACATATACAAATTCACTTTGCCTTGGATTACAACAAAAAGCAATTTGCTTGGCTTTAGCAAATGACTGTTTGAAAATCCAAATTCCAACACCCTCCACTTGCTTAATTAGCGTTGGACTTATTCCAATAGGTCAAATTCTCTTTTTATTAGCTAAAATTTTGCTGGATAATGTTCTCTTCCAACCTCAAAATGCAATCATACAAGCAATAAGTATATTCAAAACAAAATATTAGAATCCATTATAAATAATCATATTTTCCATTACCCGGGGTGTATGATCCGTTATCTTTTTAAAAAAGTTGTTATCTTATTAAATGAAAAATATTTTTTGCATTAATTGTTCTTTATAAAAATACAACGGACACACGAGAAAACCCTCCAAACGACATTCTCTATTCCTAAGCAGCTAAGTTCTTATCATCTGTTCCTTACACTCTTATCCAAGGCAGATTTACCCAAAAATAAAATAAAGGCAGGGATGGAGCTTTGTCCCTTGCAATTGAAAAAGAAAAAGAAAAATAAAAGAGAGAAGCACCGCCGCTTTTAAGCGCATCCACGGGGAGAAAACCCGACCCGAGAGCCCGCTAAATCATATGCGACCCGGAAACCCTGTTGCTGGATGTTCCCAATTATGGTCATTCCGCTCATTGTACCCGCGAATGCAAAACAAAAGGTCCCGCTGCTATCAACCGGTATCAAATAGTTCGTCGCCGGCAACGACACGTCCGCTCCTCTGAAATGTAACACCACCGTCGGCACCTTGACGGAAGTTTGTCCTGACAAGTCGAAACACGTGTCGAACAACGAGAAATCGGGTGCCCGTTTTAGATTCCTTGCCCCGAGACGGAACGCATCCCTCAGTGCGATGTAAGCGGGTTGGTTCAAGCGGGTGACGGACGTGCCGGAGTCGATGATGACCCCTCCGTTACCTTCTTGATCCATTGTGAACAGTGACGGGGTGATCTTGGGGACATGTGTCCCGCCCACGCTGATCCCGAGCAGTTCGACGTAATAGAAAGTGTCGAGCTTCGGGTTTGTTAACAGCGGAGTGAACAAGGCGCCTCGGGGAATGGCGGCGCCGCCGAATATCAGGGAGGATGGTTTAGACGAAGCGGACCGGTCTACCAAACAGTAAGAGAACTTCCGGTTGAACCGGCGTGCTGTTTGGGAGGGAAATGATAATCTCCCCCTACCAAGGCCTAACAAACCTGCCGCACCAACGAACAACCCTTCATTGTCGTGACCGCAACCGAGCGCCACCGGACCAACTGAGGTTCTTCTGAAGGTCAGCGTTTCGGTCGAGAAGTCTCCGAAAGTAACCGAACCGTCACCGTAGGATACTTGGTAAAGACACATCCGACGTCGACTGCATCCCGATGAATCCAAGCTGCGGCAAAGTGGGGATCCACAGGGAATACCGGCGAAAGATCGTGATTTAGTCGGGTCAAAAATCGGGTCGGATTGAGAGTAGCATTTCTTGCAAGGTGAACACTGGACCCAAACGACGTCGCTACCAGTGTCGAGAACCATGTAAAGATTCCTGGCCGGAGTACCCACACCAAGGCGTGTGAAGTACTCTCCACTCCCTTGAGCGAATCCGGAAATAATAGAACTGCTGAACCCAGAACGCCTTCCGGCCGCTCGTGGAGAGTTCCGGGCAACGGCTTCCGAAACGACGGAGTATATCGTTTCAGAACGACGCGCGTCGCGTTGGAGTCGTAAGTCGAAGAGTCGCTCCGGTGTATCTTCGGAAGACAAAGCGTCCACGTGGTGCAATTCTAACTGCGCTTCCAGTGTGGTGTTGGAACTAACAGGGTCGAGTTGAGAGGTTTCTTCGAGGGAGTTGGATTCGAGTTCGGAGTCGTGCCATGAGAGAGTGGGCGGCGACGGAAGAGGGCGGGGGAGAAGGGTTTGGAGCTCGAAAGGAGATGAAAAAGCGGCGGAGAAAGAAATGAATAGGAGGATAATGGAGGAAGAAAATAGAAGCTTGTTCTTCGATTTTCCCCCCATTGATCACAGTGAGAGTGAAGAAAAATTGCGAAGATGATGGAGTTTAGAGAGTACTTTAAATAATGAAATGTGAACGGTGATAAAGTTGGTGGCTTTTACTTTTATCACGTTCTGATTGAACATTCGAAATGCCTGTCTTACCCTTTTTGGTTTTGAACCAAAAGGCACCGTCACCAATTACCAATTTATTTATTTTCTTGTTTAGATGCTATACTCCACATGCATTAATTACTTCCCATTTAACTAAACTCTCTTTCTTAGACAATTGGACTATGTGTCGATGCTAATTCATCAAACAAATTACCATGACTTACTTCCCTCGTACTTACATTGCCATGTGCATGCATGGGACGGTATTTATAGTATCCATTATAGAGCAGAAGCTTCTTGCACTTCTATGATTGAGCAATATATATACATAGTGTCTTGTCTTTATTTTGATCAGATTATCTGTACATATAAGACATCATCATATCTCTTACTGCATCTCAATTACACTAATCATATTTTGGTCTTACTTCGCACAGACAGATGCTTGGTGCATAAATCTAAGAAATAGAGCTCAGGCATTCCAGTTTTGTGCTTGTTTAGCAGATTCTCTACCCATTCATGCTGCTGCATTTGTTTACAGTAAATTAAGTGTCCTTTAGGTCGAGTTCCCACGTTTGTTGACTATCTGCTGTTGAACTATTTGTGTATACATGTATATAATTATGGAGACAAAATTTCAACACTTGGACCGAATAATAGAGACCCAAATTTTTTTTCTTGTTTTGATTTGTTGTATAAATGTAAGTGAAACCAATGATGCCGGCGTGAAGTTTGTCTCTCTGAATATAATATAGTAATTAATTTTGGAACTTAGAAATCAGCTGTTAGATCTTAAAAGGAAACTTCCCTGCCCTTTATGAGAAGCAAAAGAGAGAAAATAATAATCAAAGAAGGTGGAGAGAGGACCACACAACATTATAATATGAGGGTGCCCAACAAACATCACGGAGAAATTGAAGCTTTTGTTTTGTTTTGTTTTTCTTTGCCTTGACTTGCACCGTGATTGTAGGCCATCTAATCCTCAACATTTGCTATTATTATACTGAAATAGCATTTGGCATTTTTAGACCCATTTTTTTTGCTAATTAAACACTTGAAATCCCTTGAATTCTCAATCCATCTATTTCATCACTAAAACACGGAATGGGTTTTCATTACAAGATAGAGGATCTCAGGGATTTAAAGTGTTTAATTATTTACGAATTCTCAAGGTTAAGAATGAATTTTTAAAGAGGTATCCCTTAAAACAATATTTAAAAAAAAAAAAGCTCTTTCGCTTTTTTCTTATTTTGGTTAATAATATGTAACAGGTAAATTAGTTTTTAGATATTCATAATATTATCCCCATCAAAATATATAAAATATTTTTTCATTTTATTATCAATTAGTTGCACCCAAAAAACTGGAAATGTCACATTAGTCTTAAACTCTTAATAGCAAAAATGGACAAATTTTAACAAATGACCATTTTACTTCGATATGAAATATATAGGGACCTCTTTGTCTTTCTTCACAATTATGAGTATATTGTATAATATAGTATAGTTTTGTATTGTATAGTATAGAATTGTGATGGTAGTTTTACCTATCAAAATTACTCCTATAATTTATTAACAAAACCATGAAAACAATTCTTAAAAATAAGAGAATATGAAAGATTGTACTGGTATTTTAACTGAAATGCCGTGCTATTTTTGAAGTGACAAAAGAGAGCGTTATTCTTTTTGGATGTTTCGATTTAAACATCTGTATTTGTAGGGTATATTTTATCAATAGCTAAGAGAGTTTTAAATAAATATTATCTTATAATCGGTCGTCATTTTCAAGCGAACAAATTACAATGCAACTCTCTTAACTGTTAAGAAAAAATAATAGGGTAATAAGTGACAATTAATGCCATTGTATCTCATGCTTTTCCTCTGTTCTTGTATTACGCTTCTATTTCTTTCTATTTCTCTTCGATTTTTCGAAGGCTTATGTGCGCAATGTTGGGGGGATATGGAACAATCTTTCATTGTTTTATCAAATGATGATGAAGAGGCCGAGTTGCAACTGAAGATTCCCTCCTCAGATGCTGTCTCTTTGATAATTTTCTTGTAAGTGCATTTCATACTTATGTGTTATTAATTTGCTGTCCATGGCCGATATTATAGCCGATGTATGGCACTTGCATCTTGATATCAGATCTGGGAGACAACAAATTTCTCTGTTGGGTATATCATGTAGTTTATGTGGATCAAAGTGAAAGTGGGGGGGGGGGGGGGCTATGGAGCTTTAATTCTCATCTTCTCATTCTTCACAGTCTAAAGGAAGGGGTAGACCTTTATCAGTTCGTTCGAACATGGTTGACTCCTGGACATTCATCCATGATTTACCCATTGGTTCTCACTCTTTTATGTTTCATTCTGAGAAGCTAAGCCATGAAGAAAGTTTCTACCCTATTAGGTTTTTTTGATTAGTTTAAATAATTACAAGATAGTATCTGCTCAAAATCTTTTGTAATCATATACAACATACACACATTGCAGATACAATATCTTCTAAAGAAAACAACACTCTCTTTTACCACTAAATGAGTTTAGAAAGTCACCCTTCGAATAAAAGGGAACTCAACATTGTCTATTCCAACATTTAATTCGATTACAACTTTGCCCTTTATAGATCAAAGTGGGCAGAGCATCACTTTGTTAAAGGGCCAGATTAATGACGACAGTGATGTGGCTTTCGATGGGGAGATGGACTTAGAGGAGGGTAGTCCATATCAATTAGAACAAATAGATGGATTGAAACGACCTCGTACCAGCCCTTTTTACATCGAGAGTTTCCCAGAAGTAGATTTTCCTAGTGTATTTCGTGAGTCTACTCAAACTCACAATGACAGTGTATCGGCATGTCTTACGCATCAGGAGTTGTGGTTATTGGAAATATTGGTGCATGTGGTTTGTTGCTAGTGTGGACTCGAGGAGTGTTTATCTCTTTGAAAGTTTGAAGTGTTTTTTCTCTTTTCATATTAATATGGAGATTATATCAGACAAGCTCTTAGAGAAGTGGTGATTGGCAGTGTAGACACCTGTTTTTGTCCGGGTCTTTTTTATTTTAATTTATTATTATTATTGTTGTTTTTTATATTATTATTATTTAATATGTATTTACATTTTGTGCAGGACACATGAAGCCCAAATACACAGGCCCATATTACAAACACTAATTCAAGCCCACCAGAAGCCCAACAACACCAGCTAACCTACCCAAGATCCATCCAACTATCAATCCACTTGGATGACCCAGACACAAACCCGATTCAGACCCGGTTTAAGCCCATATCTGTGCCCCAGGATCCGACCCGGTCCAATGTCAACTCCCTAGGGTTTCTGAAACCCTAGAGATAGCTATCACCGCCGCCAGTCCTTGCTGCTGCCGTCGTCCTCGTCTACACCAACAGTGACCCCAAAATCAATCAGAAGCACAGAGATAAATCAAAATAAAATCTTATCCTATAAACTTAGGATATGATTACCTACCAAGGACATCAACATCACAAGTCAACACAAGATTAGAAGCTATCATCAATCAAATCTAACATGAAAACATAAAACAGAAGCAACGAAGACAGAGGGAAGGATTTTTTTTTGGGGGGGGGGGGTTCGGTAAGAGCAACCAGGGAGAGAAACCAAAACAGAAAGAAAACAAGAAAATAGAGAGGGAGTTAGGGGTTTTTACCTTCGTTCGAACCATCGGAGAATCTAAAAAAGGTCGCTGGAGTTTCGTCTCTTCCGTGAGGTATATCTTAGATCTAGGGAGTTTGAGTCGATTTTAGGCTAAGAGAGGTTTGGTTTTGGGTTAAGGAAGATACGAGGGTTCTTTTGGGGTCCTTTCGCTCCTTCGGCGTCAGGCGCCTCCGCGAGTTCCGCCTTGAACTCCACCAGTGGCCGGGGTTTCCTTTCACATCTAAGTAGAGCGTTGAGAGAGTTCTCAGAACTCTCTCTTTTCTCTCATCTTAGAAGGGGCCAAATGGGAGAGATGAGGCCGTTTTGGCCTTTGTTTGTTATATATATATATATATATAACGCAAAACGTCCATTTTGGCACTCTATTCCTGTAACACCCCCAACCCGTATCCGATCCGGATACGAGTCCGAAGTGTCACATTGACTTTTCAAACATTTATTCGTATAAAATAGTGAGTAATTTAAAAACTTTGATAACATTTAAACTTATTCAAAACGTTTACAAAATATATCAGAGTTCATACAATTTATGTCTTTAGACTACATGCCAACTACACTCTATAAACAGTACCTATATTTTCTGATCTGACATTTAGTAAGGAAAACTGACATGTCTTGCTCCGCATTACTCTTTACTCTTCTCGAAACCTACGTGTGAAACAATCACACGCTAAGTCGAAGACTTAGTGAGGCATAACGACTTATAATGCATTTCATAACATATATCAATACATGCATGTTCTGTTCTATCATGTTATACCAATTCCATGCATTCTTCGTATCATATAAAATCATATCAGATTAATTACAGTAAATACATACATACACATAATTCATCATTAACAGTTTATCATGTAATCACATACTTTTATTGTTAACCTTTTCAATCAAACACTGTACAGACACAACATTATATGGTTCACGTAACACATTTCAAACCACTTATAAACCCATCGTATACATATCACATTCAGTATGCTTGTTTAATCACTTTATTAGCCCATGTACACTAGTGAGAACTTAAGGTATGTGAGTACATTGAGGTTGTGCACACATATGCTGTCACCACAGCTCGATCAATGTCCCGAAGGACCAGTCCATAGATTCCGAAGAACCTAGGTAATCAGCCCATATGTCCCGAAGGACATAGGTAAACAGTCCATATGTCCCGAAGAACATAGGTAAACAGTCCATATGTCCCGAAGAACATAGGTAACCCTCGACCCTTGGCATGCCAACTATACCCCT